TGAAGAAATGTGTGAAGTCCCCTTGAACTTACCACCTGCAGCAGAATCGCTGTAGCCCCCCAACCCACAGACCCTTGAGTACAAAGCACGTGTGTTTGCTGTATGTCAGCAGAATCTGCCCTCTGCCACAGAAGTAGCTAATTCACAGGTGACAGAATCCCAGTTCTAACTTATCTTAACAGGCTAGAATGCTGCTGGGCTGACACCAACTGGGTGAAATTTAAAACAATAAATGCAAAGACTTGTACAGAATTGAAAAGAGCAACAAATGTTAGGGTTCTCGATGTTACTAGCCATTGATCAGAAACAGCAAATAAGATGGTAGTTGCTACACTCCACCCCTGAATGGAGTCTAGTCCAACTAGACTCCAGGGTGGTAAGGAGTCTGGAAACCACACCATGTGGTGAGTCACTGAAGGCACTGGGGTCACTCACAGATTGACGTAAAGTTACAGCGGAAACCATTTCAGACTTCCTATGTGGGGGAAATTTATTTTTGCCTGGAGAAAAGAAGACAGTACCATTCCTATTCTTCAGTCTCTCCTTTCATTCCCTGATCCCCCCAGTTGTATTTATTTAGAAATACCTGTCTTCTTGTGCAAAGCATTAAAACAGCTTATTAAAAAAAATGTTTCCCAGGACTGGACATACAAATACAAGAAGGCTTCAAAAAGCTCAAGAAAAATGTGCATTATCATTTAATTCTGCTTTTCCATGACTCTTTGGAAGCCCCTTTGTGCAAAGAATCCAATGGGTCCAACAAGCTGAGACAAAAAGATAGATACTGTCAACCACATCCTTTCCATTATATGAAATTAGCAAGGATCTCCTGGTAGATTATTTTCCGTAATGGTCACGTTATTCCCTTCTTTGTTATCTACCCCTTTGCAATGTGACTCTGTAACTTCATTCAGTCAGAGGTAGGATTATTTCCCCAGTCCTTAAATCTAGGTTGAGGGACCAGCATTGTGGTGTAGCAGATTAACCTGACGCCTGTGGTGCCAGCATCCCATATGACTACCAGTTCAAGTCCCAGTTGCTCCACTTCCTATCCAGTTCCCTGCTAATACACCTGGGAAAGCAGCAGAAGATGGCCCAAGTACTTGGGTACCTGCCATCCATGTGGGAGACCCACGTGGAGTTCCTGGCTCCTGGCTTTAGCCTGGCCCACGCCTGGCCGTTGCAGCTATTTGTGGAGTGAACCAGCAGATGGAAGATACTCTGTGTGTGTGTGGGGCGGGGGGGTCTCCCTCTGCTTTTCAGTCTGCCTTTCAAATAAATAGATAAATCTTTAAGTCTAGGAAGGTCTGTGACTTGTTTTGACCCACACTGCCAGCAGGTAGAATATTGTATCATTTGGAGCTGAGGTCTCAAGAAACCTTACGTATTTCACTCTCCCAGCCCCCAGCCTTGGTGACAAGTCAGGCTACCCCGGGCATGTTGAGAGACCACAAAGGCCACAGTTGGGCACTGTGCTTGGCCCCACTTAGATGGGGGAGAGAGTAGGCTAGATCATATGGGCCTAACCCAGATCAGATGGGCCTGCTTAGCCTATCCTAGACTCACAAGCAATGATAAACGGTGGTTGTTCTGCCCCACTGAGTTCTGGGTGAAATTTTGTCATGTAGCCATAGATGACTGTAGACCTCTTGGCTGGGGTGGGGGTGGGTAGCAAAGCATTCTATAACCAAATTTCTCAAGTGGAGCGGGCCCATCACCCTCCCCTCACCATGAGTATTCTCCCTATGGTCTTTCATTCTCAGTGAGTACTGTACCCTGTGTGTCCTTACCACATCCCCACAGCAGGTGTTACTGGCTCTGTGCTTTCGCTTTACCGTCTTCATCTGTTTCAAAGTGGCAGCTACAAAGCTATGAACAAATCTGATGAACAAATTTAAGATTTGTTCTCCTCCCAGCTACTACATTGCATTTTACCTAATGCTAATTGCTAATGATGGAGCAAGGTGTAACCAAAAGATCTAATAACGGAAATTTCTAAAAATGCCAATGTCTGCTCATCCCTCCTCCTTACCAACTGCAGACCCCGCTACTACGCTACTATTAGATGACCCTGAGGACGTCATCTAAGCAGCATAAGCCGCAGCGTTCATGTTTAAGATACTGGAATTGGGATAAAGTTTTCAAACTCCTTGTAATTCTCTGGATTTAGGTTTTACACAGTCCCTTTCTTGGCCTAATAAGTAAGGAATCCACAGGAGACCTTCTACATATCAGCTGGTTAAAATGCAAGGGTGCGTTGTTATTTTTAGGATTTTAGTGTTTGAAGAAAAAGGCGAGGAGGAAGTCAATTAAAGTGGAAAAGATTTACTGAAGACAGGACAGCATGATGGGGGAAGGTAAGGTTGTAGCCCACCTGGACAGTGAAAGGGGGCCCTGATAAGAGATTCGGCCCATCAGGCAATAGGCAGTAGTCTATTTAAGCTATTGGTGGGGAGGGGGGCCTTATGGACATGCAAAGACTCACATCCATTGTGATAGGGTGAGTTTGAATGGCATAAGACATCCCTCCAACAGGTATTTATTGAAGTCAGTCATCTACGATTATGCTCTTATCAGCCTGGGAGGTCCCAGGCGAGCCAGTGGCTGTAAGAGCCAGAGCCAGCAGAATCTTAGGCCATGACATCCTCAGGATCCCTCTTGATTTGGCTCAGTTGGCCAGGGGTGGAGTTAGCTGTTCGTGTCCCAACGGCCCAGCAAGTTCTAACACACATATGTCAACATACATTAGGATTCGAACAAAATTGCCATCCATCCATGACGTACTTCATCCTAGTGTGGAGAAGAGGCATGCATACTTTTAGGAAAATGACAATGTGCAAGCAAGCAATGTTTTCATTAACTAAAAGTCGAACCTCACCCAGAATTCTACTGAAGAGGATAGTGTGTTGTTGACCAAATCTGACTCAGAAGTTAAGGGAGCCTTAGGAATTGCAGTTCGGGACACACAGGTTCAGAATCAGTGTTGGGGGAAAGCAGGCCAAGTGGGGTCTCCCGTGTTGAGAAGATCCAGGGTTATGTGATGGATGGAAGATGAAAAATATGCATAAGCAGAACAAAACAGAAATGTCCATAAAAGCGAGTATAACACCCCCTGGATACCGCTCTGGGCACAATGTCACGGTCAGGCCAGGTCGGGTCCTGTGGGCGGAGGGCGGAGGGGACCAAAAGCAGCCGGAAGGAGGCTTGTGTCCTGCTTCCGTAATGGCCCCCAATTCCACTCTGATGAGCATGGCTGTCGCTTTCATTTCCCCTTTTCTTTCACGGTAGGAAATGCTATCATTCTTAGAAGTTTTTACAGTATTTTTGGACTTAACATAGGAATTTAAATAAATGGACAGGGAGGAAAAGTGGAAGGGAGGACGCGCAAGTGGCCGTCCCGCCGGGGGGATTCCGAAAAGCCCCCCCGAAGCCGCCGGGGGCCGGGTGCCCCCCCCCCGCGGAGGGGCGGGCTGCGCGTGCCGGCTCGAGACGTTTCCCGGCGGCCGCCGGCGCGGCGGGCGGGTCGCGACTGCTCAGAACAGCCGCCCCACGTGCTTTCGGGGAAATGGGCCGGGAGCGAGAAGGACTGGGATTGAGAGGAAACCGAAAAGCGAAAGTCGCAGCCGGAGGGAGCAGTGCGCAGGCGCGCGCTCGGGGGCTTTCCCGGGGGCGTGGATGGCTGGGCACGCGTCGGGGCGGCACCTGGGGCGACCCCGGGGCGCCGCGGGTCTGGGGCTTGCTAACTTGAGAGGGAGGGTCGCGGCGCGGGCGGGGGTCATGTTCTAGCTGGAAGGCCCTGGAAGCTCCACTTTTCCTTCTCCCGGGTCGCGGCGCTGTCTGCACGGACTGCGCACCTCTGGTCCGCTCCTGTTTCTTCAGCTGTTGCCTTGCCTAATCTGTGAGGGTCTTTCCCCTTTGTCCTGGGGTCTTAGCGTTCACGATCACGCTAGGTGAGCCGGAGTGTGGGAGAAGGGTGGTGGAAGAGTAAGCTGAGGCACTGGACCGTGGTTTCCAAAATTTGGCTGCAGGACGAGCAGTTTGAGCTCTGTGTGCTATTTTTGTCAATTACCAAATGTCTCTGGAAGGCACCGTGACTGGGCTCTTTGGGCTTTGTGCAGCTGTTTTGAGGGGCCTCTGCCTGCGTAGGTGCCACCCCAGGGCCGCCAATGCCCAAGGCCTCTGGGCCTCTTGTCAGAGTGGGGGCCAGCCCCCCTCCACGGCTGCACACAGAATTTGAGGTTTAAATGAAGCCCCTGGTGCAAATGAACGTCTAGTTTCCCCCGTTGGAGCACAGTGCCGTCGGAGCATTAAGCCAAGTATGACGCCCTTCTGAGTGCCCTGTCCTGTGACAGCCCTGGGGGGACAAGTGGGGGGCACTTCCCTGACGAAACCTTGTCAGGTGTTTGTTAAAACACTGAGAGTTCCACTAAAATTGTCGAGGGAGAGAGAAAAAGAACGTGCCCTCCCGATCTGCTGCTTCACTCCGGGAAGGCCACAACGGCTGGGCTTGGCTGGGCTTGTCTGGAGCGACAGCCCTGAGCTGGGAACTCAATCTGGTCTCCTACCTCTTGCCTCCCAGAGCCTGCGTGAGCAGGAAGCTGGAGTCAGGAGCCAGAGCCGGGCATTGAACCACAGTGCTGTGGCCTGGGATGCGCTGTTCCAGCCGCTACGCCAGACATCCCCTCTCGGAGCAGATTCCCTACCAGCGCGCTCACGCTCCTGTTGGAAAGTGTCTGCTGGCTTCCTGTAGCAGCTGCGATGAAATCCAGAACCCCTGGTTTTCCCTGCGGGACCCTCCATAACTTGGCCCCGCCCCGCTTGTTCTGCGCTTCCCTTTCGCCCTACCTCTCCAGGGTCCCCTCCATCCCTGTGGCCTCTTTCTGCACCTAAAAAGCTTCAGGTTTTTACATGACAGGGGGCGCGTGCAGCCTACACTGTTCTTTTGGGGGTGCTGCTGTCCTGGCTGTGTTTCGTGGACTGGTTCCTTTCGGTTCTTTAGGGCCTCAGCTCTGTCAGCATCTCTCCAGGGTCTCTCTCTCACATTTCCCAGTCCTCACAGCGCCAGGGACATCTCTTGCTGCTATTATTAGCGTGTCTATTTTCACCTCTCTTGGCCAGCGGTAAGCGTCAGGAGGGCCCCTGCGTTGTATTACAGCTCTTCTCATTCAGAGGCCCCAATAGTAAGGGCGGAGTCACTGTGTTGGAACCCTGGGAAAAGGAAGGCAGAGAAGGCCGTGAAGGGGGCGTGGGGGAGGTCATGCTCAAACTGCCAGTAACCGGAACTGTTAACAAGAAGTTTCTCCAACCACAGCTTATTTCATGAGCCACACGAGGACAGCGTGTGGCTCAAGGGCAGCTGGCCACTTACATAAGAGCACTTGCCGGGCACACTGTCTCCCAAGCCTAGTTCAACAAAACAGCCTACCGGAGCCTTCAGATTACGGGTTTAGCCTAGAAACGGCCATTTCTCACTAATCAGAATTTGCCAGCTCCCCAAAGCACCAGGGAACTTCCTTTCAAATCCACTCATGTAACTTTTCTCTTTTCCAGTAATACTCTAACTTTTCCTTTATTCTTTTTTCAAAAAGAATTACAGAGAGAAGTGGAGACGAGACAGAGAGATCTTTCATCTGCTGATTCACTCCCCAAATGACCTCAGAGCTGGAGCTGAGTTGATCCGAAACCAGGATCCAGGAACTTCTGGATCTCCCACGTGGGTACAGGGGCCCAAGCACTTGGGCCATCCTCTACTGCCTTCCCAGGTGCATTAGGAGGGAGCTGGATCGGAAGTGGAGCAGCTGGGACTCGAACAAGCACCGAGATGGGATGCTGGCACTGCAGCTAGGGCTTTAACCTGTAGCCCCACAGCGGTGGCCCCTTCCTTTTTGCTTTGGACTTTGCAGAGGCCATTCTGACCTGTGTGTATGTCTTGAATTGAAATTCTAATCTTTATGGATTATTCCCCAATATACCCTTTTCTTGGGGATTCGTCTCTATATTTCTCCCTTATTCTTTTGTATGTTTCTTTAAAAGTTTCATTTATTTATTTGAAAGGCAGAGTTACAAAGTGGGGGGGAGAGAGAAAGAAATCTTCCATCTGCTGGTTCATGCCCCCAGATGGCCACAACAGCCAGGGCTGGGCCAGGCTGAAGCCATTAGCCAGGAGCTTCTTCTGGGTCTCTTACTTGGGTGCAGGGGCCCAAGCACTTGGACCATCCTCCCCTGCTTTCCCAGGCACATCAGCAGGGAGCTGGATCAGAAATGGAGCCAGCACTCACATGGGATGCCGGTGCTGCAGCTGGCAGCTTTATCGACTGCACCACAGCACTGCTGATTCCTTCTTTGGTATATTTATTATTATAATCACAAAGCATCTGTGTACTGAATTACCTTCTCTCCTATACTCCTATCTGGTCCGGTGCAATATACGATCCTTGGGAAAATTGAGAAAATCAAGCAGATCACTTTCTGTGTGATGTGGTTCAGATGGGAAACCCTGGTTGAGATTGCAATGCCTGATACAGAGTATCAAAAATGGTTTCTGAATAAAAGAATAAATGAATACGGCTGACCAACACTGGGATCAAGACTCACGGGTTAACTTGGCCATCTAGATCTCAGCACTGGCAGAAAGACCTATGGAGGGGCCGGTGCTGTGGCACAGCAGGTTAAAGCCATGATCTGAAGCACCGGCATTCCATATGGGCACTGGTTCTAGCCCCGGCTGCTCCACTTCTGATCCAGCTCTATGCTGTGGCCTGGGAAAGCAGTGGAAGATGGCCCAAGTCCTTGGGCCCTTGGACCCATGTAGGAGACCTGGAAGAAGCTCCTGACTCCTGGCTTAGGATCAGTTCAGCTCCAGCCGTTGCAGCCATCTGGGGAGTAAAGCAGTGGATGGAGGACTTCTCTCTCTCTGTCTCTACCTCTCTCCGTAACTCTTTCAAATAAATAAAATAAATCTTAAAAAAAAAAAAAAAAAAAGACCTATGGAGCTGCAGTTGAAGTGGAAGAGAATAATGAGCATGTGTATTCTAAAAAACTTCCCTGAGATTGTAATGACAGTCCGTCTCACCCTGTCCAACCCCTCCCATCTTTGCCCTGTCTGAATGGCCTCCAGATTTCTTTCCACCTATAGCAGTCTGCGAGACATCTCAGGGGATGACTGGCAAGCCCTAATGTGAGAGTTCTGTGTAGGATGTATGCAAGAGGCAGGGGTAGTCATGACGGTGTGTTAAATGAAGGGGGTGTTAAGGGGGAATTTCAAGAACACTTGATTCCTCTGGGCGTTGGGAAGATGCTTGGGACGTTAGGCATGCCCGAGATAACACCTAAATCAGAGGGGATTTCAACGGGGTCAATGATAACTCGAGTATTTCCACAGAAATTGGAGTTAAGAGTGAGGTGAACTAGAGAGAAAATCCTCTGTATTGCGCGATCAAAGCAAGCCTGTTTTGGTTTCATCAGGATGAGGTATAATATTGGGGACAGTTTCACGATTTTAGAGTCTGGAGGTATTAAAGAAAGAATTCTAGCTTAATCTGCAGGCACAGCAAGGAACAAAGGAAAGGAAGGAACTGATCGTTGTCCTGAATGTGTTCAAGCTCTAACCCATTAGTGAACACTTAAGGGGCAGATTGTGCTACAGATACAGCTGTGAACAAGGCTGTGTTGGTCCCCGTCCATCCAGCGCTCCCTCACACTGATGAAAGAAGACGGATGATGTACAACGGCGATGTCCTGTGCTGATGCTTGGGAGGGGGCACAGTGTGACACGTGTGTCCACCAGTGTGCGTGTGTGTGTGGCAGGAGAGCTTTCCGGAGCCAGAAGAAAGTATGCACATTACCTAGGTGACCACTAGCAGAGGGGGGCTGGAGAGCTGTGAGGATGACGCAGAGGAAGGAGGACGTGGAACGTCAATGAAACTGGAAGTAGTTTAGTGTGTCCTGCGTGCACGTGCACACGTGTGTGTGTGTGTGTGTGTGTGTGTTGGAAGATAAGAAGCCTTTAAGGAAAAGTGGTACGAGGGGAGAGTTAAAGGCTATATATATGTATATTTATAAAGTCATATACTATATGACTTTGGAAAGAGCTGTTGAAAATTATGGTCTTCATCCAGAGTTGGGATTCTGCTTGTACCGTGGACCCCTTTGGCAGTCTGACAAAATCTACGAGCTCCTTTGATGAATCATGTTTTTAGCTGACCAAAATGCATAACATTAAAAAAGAAACCAATTATTCTGAAATAAAATTATCGAATCAATGTTGATATATTAAAGCCAACTTTGTGATACAGTTAATGTTTATTAATAGCATTAAGCAACAAGATCTCCAGTGGATCTGATTAATGCAATTTCAAACTTTTACTTAATATAAATAATATTTTGAGATAACTGTAACAACTGTAATAGATAAGTAGTATGGATTATGGTTTTCTGCCCTTATTCATAATCAAAGGAAATTTTAAACTTTAGCCAGAAGTTCTTGGAAATAAAATTGTTAACTTCTACCATCCAAATTCATAAATTCCTTACTAAATTCTGTCTGTAAGAATGCTAATGCAGTGTCATAAGTCATTTATAGATTTTAAGCACAGAGTGACATGATTCAACCTATTTATTTTGAAAAGTTCATTTATTTTCATTCTAGTTTAAAAGCAGACTGACAGAGAGCTCTTCCATATGCTGACTCACCCCTCACATGCCTGCAACCGCTATAGCTGAGCCATGCCAAAACCAGGAGCCTGGTTTTATAGCATCTTCTTCATGAGTATTCTGGTAGAAATATTCCCTGTCTTACAGGGGTGCTTATACAGTTACCGGATTGGTAAGAGTTCACGTGCCAAACTTTAACAAGAACAATAAATCAAATCAGTACATGTTCATGATCAATTTCAAAGAAGTTTCTAGTCTGTGTCAGAAATCAGAGTGTATATGCAGAGAAGTCAGTCAGTTAGGTCCACTGCCAAGAGCAGAGTCCACATATGGTTTGACTCTTAATTATGTTCTCTCCACCACAGGGAGTGCTTGGGTTTCCCTACACCAGGTGTGGTTAAGAAAAGTCTCTTGAGCTGCCAGAGGGGATGCTTGTTCTTTCTGGTTCTTTGGGAGAGCTTTCCTTGCTACCATAGACTTGGAGAAATCTGCTGGCCAGCTGCCTTCTTTCACCATCACTTCCCGATAAATTAAGGTAGTGATACCCAGTACAATTGATTCAACTGATTTTTCACATTAAAATGAATTTGGATAGTGATTAGCAAATTGTCTATAATTAATCTGGGCTGGGTGAGAACTGAAAGTGGGTTTATTATTTTGGAACTAGATCTATATTTGATTTCATTAAGTGGTGTTTATTTGCTGGCTGTTTGTAGTGGAATGACTTTATATTCCCCCGACATTCATATGTAGAAATGCTTACTTCCCATAGGTTGGTATTTGGACTTTGGGAGGTAATTAGATCATGGTAGTGAACGCTCATGAATAGAATTAGTTTCCTTACAGAGAGCTCTCACTCTAACTCTCCATGAGGACACAAAAGTTGGCCATCTACAACCTGGAAGAGGGCCCTGCCCAGAACCAAACCATGCTGACACCCAGATCTTAGCCTTTCAGCCTCCAGAACTTTAATAAATACACTTCTGTTGAGACACAGCTTGAACCAAGTCACAGTTGGCAGAAAAAAATATACTGAGATAGGATTTGGTGGAAACGTGGTCTAAACCCCTTTCGGATTGCATTTCCACTTCATGTGGCACATGATATCTTGGACAGAACAGGGATCCCTGAAATCCTCCTGACTCATTACCCCCACAAAGACGATTTTTGGAGAGCAACACTCATATTCTAGGAAAATAATTATTTGAATTGGGTCAAGAGTTTGATTTTGATTTTTAAATTAAATAAAAACAGCCATCTAGTTCTTATAACATACTCTCTGCATCCATTACAGGAAGCAGATTACAGAACTTCCTTGGCTGTGGTGACATATGAATCCTTGGTATGCTGCTACCAGTTTCTATGTTGAAAAGTTTTTAAATCTTCAGCCTAAGAGGTAAGAGTCTATCGTACTTTCGTCAAATTCTGGGGAATGTAAGCCCTCTCTCTCTCTCAAGCCAGTCATTTTAAGAGCACTTCCTGGTAGAAAAATCACCTCTTTAAAAGACAAAACTGTAACAATCATGCCTAAATTTAAATTATATTCCCCAGTTCTGCTGCTAGGTAGTATATATGTTTCAGGCAAATTTCAGAACACTGGATTTGTGGAGGGATATAGAGGCAGGGAGGGTGTGATTTGAATTGAATGTAGAATTACCCTCTCTCAGACACCCCTTTCACCCTACAGGTACTGTCAGGAACCTGCAAGTAAACGAGGGAGTCAGCCTTGGGCAGGTGGAGAGTTAGCCATATAGAAACAATCAAAGATCTGTTTGGCATATGTGGGTGGGCCTAAATAATGAGACTGAATGGCCAGAATCCCTCAGAGGGAGAACACAGGTTTTACTAAGAGCTCATTTCCCTCGAGTTCTTTTGCATTAGACATGAGCTTCTAACTGGTTTGCCTAGATGATCGGAGATGGGTGGAAGGAATTAGAGAGCCCTTCAGATGCTATTGTCACCACTGATTCTCTGGCCAGGGCTCACACTGGAAATCGGTTTTGGGATTTTCTGGAGTTGGTCATAGCAGGTGCCTTGGTAGCATGACTTCCTCCATGGGCTCAACAGCATCCCTCGTGCTTGGCAGACATCAAGATACCCAGTCTTGGGCATTGGGGATCCCACACTACTACTAAGGGCAGCAGCTTGGCAACAGCACCACTAACCATCCAGCTGGGATACGGCAAGGCCAAAACAGAGCTAACTCATGTACACAGTCATGCATTGGCACCTAGTCCTGCACCTGCCCTTCCTCTTCACCAGAGCAAACTGCAGGGATGGCACTTCTTCTTCTTCTTTTTTTTTTTAAGATTTATTTATTTTATTTGAAAGAGTTACACACAGAGAGAAGGAAAGACAGAGAGAGAGAGAGAGAGAGAGAGAGAGAGAGAGAGAGGTTTTCAATCTGGTGGTTCACTTCCCAATTGGCCGCAACAGCCGGAGCTGTGCCAATCTGAAGCCAGGAGCTTCTTCCAGGTCTTCCACGTGGGTGCAGGGGCCCAAGGACTTGGGCCATCCTCTACTGATTTCCCAGGCCACAGCAGAGAGCTGGATCAGAAGTGGAGTGGACTAGATCCGGTGCCCATATGGGATGCTGGCACTGCAGATGGCAGCTTTACCCACTATGCCACAGCGCCGGCCCCCGGAACTTCTTATCTTATACCACTTCCCCAGTGTCAGGTAGTATTTATGGGGACCAGAGATTTGAGCTGGAAAAGATCACAGAGCCCACTTAGTCCAGCCGCTTTCTATAGATAAATAACAGAGGGAAGCAGTCTCCCAGGCTAAAACTGTTGTTCACCTCCCAGTCCTATTTCATGAGGACTTTAACCTCTGTGTCTGCTTTTTTTTTTTTTTTTTTCCTTTTGACAGGCAGAGTAGACAGTGAGAGAGAGAGACAGAAAGGTCTTCCTTTTTGCCGTTGGTTCACCCTCCAATGGTCACTGTGGCCAGTGCGCTGTGGCCGGCACACCACGCTGATCCGATGGCAGGAGTCAGGTACTTATCCTGGTCTCCCATGGGGTGCAGGGCCCAAGCACTTGGGCCATCCTCCACTGCACTCCCGGGCCACAGCAGAGAGCTGGCCTGGAAGAGGGACAAGCGGGACAGAATCCGGTGCCCCGACCAGGACTAGAACGCGGTGTGCCGGCGCCGCAAGGCGGAGGATTAGCCTAGTGAGCTGCGGCGCTGGCCTTGTTTCTGCTTTCAATGACCATGTTATCAGTGCAGTTTGCCTAGAATATCCCCAGGAATGACTCTGGATCCCTCCTAATAAGGGACAGTGCTGACATGGTTGGGGCTTCACAATTTACCCCCGCATGCTCCATGGCTACTGCTATCAATGCCTCTCCAATTACTTCCATCTCGGTTCTGCTGTGAAACTGAACTCAGGACACTGACCTGCTGCCTTGGCTTCTCCCTCAAGCCTTCCTGCTGCTTTTGGAGTAATGTGGGTGTACTTTGTTATTCTTGACCTGCAGTGGTAGCTTATACCTTCCATAGCCAATATTATACGTGAACACCCGAGAAACAAAATCAGAAATAAACACATACAAACAAGTCTTTCATTAATATTATATTGTTAATAACACTGGTTCCTTAAAGTTGTCTTATCTTGAAAATTTATCTGAAGTTTTGTTTTTTAACATTTCAATCACAACACTCCCTAAAGGGTGTCAAGCTAGTGAGAGGAGAGCTTCAGACTTCAACCATTTCCTGGAAACCAGTATTTAAGCTGAAGAAACATGATGTTTTTGTTGGCAAAGAACAGTCTTTAAACTTTTTCTCAGTTGCTTCCTTTGTTGGGGTGTCGGTTTATTCTATCATTCAGCAGAATATGGAGACTTCATCTAAAATTGAAAATGAAAATGATCTTTGAAGAAATTCCTGTTTTGCAAATAAATCATTAGTTAGGGGGTAGACATCCTCTTGTCTGCCAAATACTGAACAATCTCCCCACCAATTAACTATCAAGTATTTTAAAAAATTAACTGGGGTTGATCAGTCTAAAATAAAAGGTTCCTTTCACCAAAAATATCACAAGGAAATGGGTACAAAATGTTGCAAAAGTTCGATGAGACAAAAATAACTTGATTTAAGGGCTACTAACATTGGAATAAAGTAAAAAAGGGAAGTGGATTTTCCATCCCTAGAAATCTTCAAGAAGAGCCTGAAATGTACTTGATTTATAGACAGATATAAATCTTGTGGGGCTTGGAGTCCCTCCAGTGTTCTATTATTCTGATATATGTTCACTTTCATTTGAACCCTCTTGCCAGTATTTGGGGATAAGAATGAAAAAAATGCAACAAATAACATTACTACACACTGGATTACGACTAATTCTCAAAAAAAGAGAGTATTACTATGCTGCTTTTGGTTGCTATTCATGTACTACTTGGAATGGCTGCAGGGACTAGTAATTCAAATAAGGATCAAGAAGAATTGGAATTTGTGGTGCTTGAGCTGTTTAAATAGGTATCACACCAGGCTGATAAACACTGACTAATACATGTTGTTTATAGAGCCGAGTAGTGGGACTGATGGAGCCAAGGATTTGCAGTAGGGCCAGTGGCTTAAGCGGCATGTAGGAATAGTTTGGCATTTTGTGGTTTTGAAGAAAAGAACCTAAATCAGATCACATCAGTCAAGGTGTTTGCTTTTCATGCCTGTAACATTAGCAACATGCAGGACCACACAGAAACCCCTTGTGTTATGCTCACAACTTTGTTCCAATTAACATGTTTTCTCTTTGCCCAGGTAGTATTTCAGCCGCCTTGAGTCACGCACCACCTTGGCTTCATTAGAAACGCCCCCGATCAGCAATGGAAAAGAAAGGGTACATACTGCAGTTTCAATTGTTGTGGGACTCAGGTTTTCCCTCAGCACTGCATATACACTTGGAGACATGGGGAGGAGGTCCGACGGGGACTGTGGCTCAGTCGAATCACTTCGGCTTCAAGAGACAAGAAGGTGAGTATTGAAAAGGATTAGAAAATAAGAGCTCATGGTCACTGACTGGATCAGGAACTCATTTCTTCATCTATTTGTGCCACCGAGCTGCTTAATTCATCATTTCATATCAGAACCTTCAGCCTACTCTGGAATATATGGCATATAAAAGGGCAACTTGGTAACTGCAGCAGTAATACACTGTAGTAAGTATGCCCTGAAGACTAGCTTTATGTATTGAAAGAAATGGGACAGAAAATGCTTTATTACATAAAAGAAGGTCTTGTTCTCAGTTATATGTACTCTGCTGTACCCTTAAATCTCTTAGAGGAAAGTTTTTTTATTTTTTATTTTTTTTCCCAAAAGTTAATTCAGTAGGGGCTGGCACTGCAGCGTAGCAGGTTAAACCGCAGCCTGTGATACCAGCATCCCCTATGGGTGCTGGTTCATGTCCTGGCTGCTCCTCCTCTGATCCAGCTCCCTGATAATGCACCTGAGAAAAGAATGAAGGATAGCCAAATGCTTGGGCCTCTGCACCCACTGGGAGACCTGGAGGAAGCTCCTGGCTCCCGGCTTTGGCCTAGCCCAATCCCAGCCATTGTGGCTATCTACAGAGTGAACCAGTGGATGGAGGATATCTCTTTCTGTCTCTTTCCCTCACTCTCTAATTCTGCCTTTCAAATAAATAAATAAATAAATAAATCTTTTTAAAAACCAAATTCAATAATAAATATTTTACAAGTGACTCAGACTACTCACATTGTTGAAATGGGAATAAAAACTGAAGGAACATATCCTTTGTCTCCCCTCTCAGTTGGCCTTGACACTGGAAAAGAAAGGCACAATGTTGGGGGAAAACAGAGATCAGTAATATTGATAAACTTAGGAAAAACACCAGCAATACTAAAAGGAAGAGAGAATACAATTGTTAAGTGATTCACAGATATTTTTAGTTGAGTAGAAGAAACAATCTTTTAGATAAACATAAAATGTGTTAGAAGAGAAAAACAAATCTCCTGGCAGCCTATTCCAACTTTGCATATTAATGTCTCCAAAGGGGTAAGAAAAATTGAGAATCAACTAGATTGGCTGTCTTCTATACTGCATTGAAGTTTGACTATGGTGACTGCCTTATTCATTCTGGGGTGGGAGTTTGTAGTAATCTAGCTATGGACATCAACCATAACCTGATGATAACAAAGTTTTGAAACAGAGACATCCCAGACTATGTGGTACTAACAGTGATATGTGAACTTAACCTTGGAAACATGCCTCAACCTTCTCTAGTATGTTGTGTCGAATTAGTGCTTGGTCCAATTTTTCAGCTATAATTTGTTGCGTTGACATTTTTGTTATTTCGTTTGATCAGATATATAGAATCACTTAATAAAGCTGCAGGTTTTTGTTTTGTTAAAATGTTTATGTGTTTATTTCAAGAGGGGAAGAAATTGGGTGGCATCAAATCACCATCTGAGAAACAAATGTGGAATATTCCACAAGAAGGTACTCAAAAGATTTAGCTGCTATAGAGGAAGATGTTAATGAACTGAATATATATTTGGTCCTTGATAACTGTGGAGGATTGGTTATGGGACTCCCTTGGATACCAAAACCACAGATGTGCAAGTCCCTTATATAAAATGGAATGATGTTTGCTATATTCTAACTACATTCTCCTGTCTACTTTAAATCATCTCTAGATTACTTGTAATGCCTAACATAATGTAAAATCCATGTAAATAGCTGTTGTATCGTTTAGGGAACAATGGTAAGAAAAAAAGGAGTCTGTACAAGTTCAGCACAGATGTAATTTAAAAAAATATTTCAACAGCAGGTGCTGTGGAACAGCAGCTTAAACTGCCACTTGGGACTGCAACATCCTTTACTGGAGTGCCAGGTTAAGTCTTGGCTACTTTTCTTCCAATTTAGCTCTCTGACAATGTGTCTGGGAAGCAGCAAATGATGGCTCAAGTACTTGAGTCCCTGCAACCCACACAGGAGACCGAGAAAGAGTTCCTGCCTCCTGGATTCAGCCTGGCCCAGCTCTGGTTGTTGCAGCCACTGGAGAAGTGAACCCACAGATGGAAGATCTGTCTCTTTCTCTGTCTGTCTCCCTCTTCCGAATAAATAAATAAATAAATAAATCTTCAAAAAACAAATATTTTACGGCGCCAGCACCCCGGGTTCTAGTCCCGGTTGGGGTGCCGGGTTCTGTCCCAGTTGCCCCTCTTCCAGTCCAGCTCTCTGCTGTGGCCCAGGAGTGCAGTGGAGGATGGCCCAGGTGCTTGGGCCCTGCACCAGCACGGGAGACCAGGAGAAGCACCTGGCTCCTGGCTTCAGATCAACGCAATGCGCCGGCCACAGCACACCAGCCGTAGCGGCCATTGTGGAGTGAACCAACAGAAAAGGAAGACCTTTCTCTCTCTCTCTCACTGTCCACTCTGCCTGTCAAAAACAATATTTTAAATTCATGGGTTTCATGGGTGGTTGAATCTGCCCAGGCAGAACCTATACACATAGAACTGACTGTACTTTCATTAAATAAATAGAATGATGAACTTAAAATACACAGCTAATTTCATGAACTTTCTTTCACAGATTCAATAGCTATTTTGGCTCGCTAGGCTAGGAAGGCTAGGAAGAAGGCAGATAAAATATAGACCCCCATGTACCGTCCCTGGCAAATGAATAAAGAGACTCTGCATGGTAAGAATACAGAGAGATGAAAAGTGTGAATCTTATAAATCCTGGAGTTCCCGGACAAAATACAAATGCCTCTAACATTCTCAATCATTACTTCTTTTTCTTTGCCTTTCCCCAAATCACAAAAGTGAAGTCAAAACCACTTCTGTTTTACGAAGGAGAAACTTGAAGCTCTCCAAGCGACTGAGAGGCCTCCAGGGCCTTGGCGAAGTGAGATTCAAGCTACTGAGTTTCTGTGCCAGTGCCAGACAGCCCAGCGGCTCCTTTTCAGGAACTGCTGAGAAACTACTTCATTTCTCAAGCTTTGACCACCACGTGCCCCTTTGATCTTACAAAGGCCAAAGCAAGCAAAAAGAGGAACTTCATTTACTTTGCTTCAAAATGAAGCTATTTTCCACAATCTTAAGGAAAAAGGTAAAAAACAAAAAACAAAACCAAACAAACAAACAAACAAAAACATCCTAACCTTCGCAAGGCTGGGAGCTGTAGTGTTTACCGAAGGCTTTATCTTTGGGAATATCTGGATACAGGTACTTCAGAGGGTTTTCAGGAATGTTTTCAGCCATAATAACCTTGTAGTCTCGAAGGATGTCAGCAAACGGCAGAGCAGACAACCGGCCTTTATTGTAAGGTTCTACAGAGTGGAATCTCACTTCTCCTGAAAAAACAGTAATTGGAGGGATATCCAGGTTTCTGCTGACATTCTCTGTGGCCGTTCTTTCTGCCCACACGGTCTTCAGTCACGGTTATAAAGCAATGCCAGACCTTCTGCAGACGGACAGTACAGATCAAGCACGTGAGAGAGGCTGATTCACAGGCTTTTACAACTCATGGTACCCTGTTCTGGGACAATGCAACAACTAATATTCAAATCCACTGAACGCATGGGAGGCAAGTCAACACACCACACACGTCTGAAAACCGAAAACTCAAGAACACCAAATTCACATGGATAAACGGTAGTGAGCATGTACCATTTTCAGAATGGTCCACCCAGGTGAAAGTTATTCCTCCAAGATGGCTTTCACTGAATCTTAATAAGAAGGTTCCAGGCATTTTATCCTTCAGCAAGAGCCGTTCCTTCTCTTTGCTAACAAAGCCCATGATGTACCTAAAAATAGAACAGTGCACAGTTCACATTGATCATTATCGCAGTATTTGCATTTATTACATTTACAAAGAACAGACCTAATGTTTGTTTTGGGTATAATCAAGTCACTGGTACATGGACTACTCATCTATAAATATAAATACTGATACTCTAAGAGGAATGTAAGGGGCTGGCACCGTGGCTTACTTGGTTAATCCTCTGCCTGCGGTGCCAGCATTCCATATGGGCACCGGGTTCTAGTCCCGGTTGCTCCTCTTCCAGTTCAGCTCTCTGCTGTGGCCCGGGAAGGCAGTGGAGGATGGCCCAGGTGCTTGGGCCCCTGCACCCGCATGGGAGACCAGGAGGAAGCACCTGGCTCCTGGCATCGGATCGGCGCAGCGCCGGCCATAGCAGGGGGTGAACCAACGGAAGGAGGATCTTTGTCTCTCTCTCTCTCTCTCACTGTCTATCTGCCAAATAATAAATAAATAAATAAATAAAATAAAATAAAATAAAAAAAGAAGAATGTAAGAAATGGAAGCTATTTTTTTTCCCAGGGCACTAAAAATGCTTAGATTTAAAAAGGAAAAGGGAAAAAAATAACAAGAGAAAAAAAAGACCTAATTGATCAATGTGGAAAACATAGTCTGTAACTCACCCATCAATCCACAGGGGAAGAATGTGCTTCTTAATTAGATCTAGGATCGCCTCAAGCCATGTCCAGAAGGTAAATGATTTGCCAGGTAAGTGTTCCTATCGGAATAAACAAGCACATTAAGACAACCATTATTTTAGTAATGTTGATACAATAATGAAGTTCCATTTTTCAATGAATTGTTTTCTTTAAACTGGACACTTTAGTTTCTTCCAGATACATCCTTCTCCAGGAAATCCTTAGCCCCCCAGGTGATAATAGGGAGGCATAGAAAGGAGTATTAGTTTTTTAAAAGTATCTAAAGGATGTTTCCCTTCCCATTTGTACCTTGCAGAACTTTGCCCAGGTGAGGTGACCATCACTGTAGCTGGACTGAACTAAAAAGAGAACAAAAGATGGCACATTTTATTCCAACGAGGATTTTCAATTATTTGCTCAATTTAGAGCCCGCCCTTCCCTTAAACATTTCGTAAGCATGTGCTATGGGTTCATGGTGTCTGTAGTGCTA